AATTTTTTTATTTTATAGTTATATAGTATTTTAACACTATTATTACGTAATATATTATATATTAAAAATAAATATTTTTTATTATTAGATATATAATTTAAATCTTTTTTTATAGTATAAGACAAACTTAACATATATTTGAATAATATTTTTAATTTATGTGAACAATATTTATTATTTTTATATTTTTTATATAGATATGAAGTAGTATTAAAATTTTTATTTTTATAAATATAACTATAAAATGAATTGCTTTTTATACAATGACTATAGTTAAAAAATATTTTATTTTTTAAATATACCTTATCGTTTTGTAAATTATAATTGAATAAACATATTATATTATTTAAATAGTTTACAAATTTACTATTTAATTTATTACTGGAATAAATTAATTTATTTAATGAAATATTATTATTGTAATTATTATTATAATCTTTAGAAAACATTTTTATAAATAATTTTCTTTTTTAAACTATTCTATTTAGTTAAATTTTTATTTTAATACAAGAATACAATATTTATGCATATTTTCTATAATATTATTTTTTTTTATATCTTTTATCGCCACATATAAACATGGTATATAAATAAAAACCATAATAATTTCTAAAATGAAATCAATAAAAGGTATAAAGGAATAATATTTTTTATTTTCTAATATAAGTAAATGTTTTAAACATGTGTTATAGTAATTTGAATTATATAAACATCTATAAGTGAAAAAAAAATTATTATATTTAAATACATGTAATTCTATCAAATATAATGACAAAAACATTATATATTTTATTTTTTTTATTATTTTTTTTACAATATATGAAGAATATATGTATTTGTAAAAATATTTTAAATATAAAATTATTTTATAATTAAAATATCTTTTATATAACTTATTTAAATAGTTATTAATATTTATAAATTTATAATATATATGACGCATTTTTATATTTTAATTTTTTTATCAATAAAATTTGTATTATTTTTTATTATAGCAAAATTATTTTGTTGTGTAATAAATTACTTTTTATATATATATTTAGTAAGATTGTTGTGTGTCTTAAATAAATTTTATTTTTGCTTATAATATTTTAAAATAAATACAATTTTTATATTAAAAATTTATTAATTTTATGTTATTTTTTTTTAATTATTTATATATTAATTATTTATAAAAAATTTATTTTATTTGGTTATATATATATATATATATTTATTTATATTTTTTTATTTTTTATATTAAAAGTAGTTTATTTATAAATTTATATTTATAATTTTTATTTAATTATTTTATTTATTAAATATAAAGCTACATATAATAATGCTTTTAATATTAAGTTTATTCTTACTATTATTGAGTATGTGATATATATTACTAAAATATAAATTGTTATGTCAATCATTTTTTTTTTTTATTTTTAAAATACAGTTATTATTTTTGCAAATAATACTAAAAAACTAAAACAAAGTTCATTAAATGTTTTAAAATACCCATGAACAAGAGAATATATATGTATTAAATACCATGGTATAGTACATGGAGCTGTAAAACACAATAATATATGTTCTATTATTATTTTTTTATTTGAATTTAAAAAATTAAGAACTTGTATATAATTATCAGGTCTTTTTTCTCCTTTTAATTTTATATTTTTACATATGAACATTACTATAAATACTATAAAGCTAAATACAGCTCTAAGTTGTAAATATATTAGATATATTATCAATTCTAATAAATATCTTAATCTATAATTTTCTTTCATCATTATTATTTATAACATTATAAAGGAGCTAAATTAGAGTGCCAATAATGTAATATATTATCTAGTGTGTTAAATTTTTCTATATCCCCTATTACTACCCAAAAAAGAGGTATATAGAATAATGTCATAAATGTCATAACTATAAATAAAGTAACTGGAAGTGCTGATCTACCAGTTCTAAGTTTAAGTTTTAAAAAGTGTTTTAAACATAGCCCATAGTAACCAGGCTCATATCTACATTTATAAATAAAAAAGAACTCATTTTGTCCTCTTATATAACGATCTATATAATATCTTAAATGAAATAAACAATATTCTACACCGTTTAAAATATCATAATGTTTTATGTATAACAGGAATAAAATAATTTTGTCTAAAAGTTTAGATATTAATGTAAGTATATTTTTAATTGTAAATATTTTTCTAAATCTTATTTTTTTTAATACTTTAATTATGGCTTCTATTATAATAATTGTATCATCTGGATATGCCATTAAATTTAATTTTATTAATTCATAGTTAAAATGTGTTTTATATATTGAAATTAAATAACCTTTAATTTTCTCAATTTTTGATTCAGTAAACCTCATTTTTTTTTTATTTTTAAAATACAGTTATTATTTTAGCGAACAACACTAAAAAACTAAAACAAAGTTCATTAAATGTTTTAAAATACCCATGAATAAGAGAATATATATGTATTAAATACCATGGTATAGTATATGGAGCTATGAAACACAATAATATATGTTCTATTATTATTTTTTTATTTGAATTTAAAAAATTAAGAACTTGTATATAATTATCAGGTCTTTTTTCTCCTTTTATTTTTATATTTTTACATATGAACATTACTATAAATACTATAAAGCTAAATACAGCTCTAAGTTGTAAATATATTAGATATATTATCAATTCTAATAAATATCTTAATCTATAATTTTCTTTCATCATTATTATTTATATATTATAAAGGGGCTAAATTAGAGTGCCAATAATGTAATATATTATCTAGTGTGTTAAATTTTTCTATATCCCCTATTACTACCCAAAAAAGAGGTATATAGAATAATGTCATAAATGTCATAACTATAAATAAAGTAACTGGAAGTGCTGATCTACCAGTTCTAAGTTTAAGTTTTAAAAAGTGTTTTAAACATAGTCCATAGTAACCAGGCTCATATCTACATTTATAAATAAAAAAGAACTCATTTTGTCCTCTTATATAACGGTCTATATAATATCTTAAATGAAATAAACAATATTCTACACCATTTAAAATATCATAATGTTTTATGTATAATAGGAATAAAATAATTTTGTCTAAAAGTTTAGATATTAATGTAAGTATATTTTTAATTGTAAATATTTTTCTAAATCTTATTTTTTTAATATTTTAATTATTGCCTCTATTATAATAATTGTATCATCTGGATATGCCATTAAATTTAATTTTATTAGTTCATAGTTAAAGTGTGTTTTATATATTGAAATTAAATAACCTTTAATTTTATCAATTTTTGATTCAGTAAATACTAGTTTAATCATTATATTTATAATTCTACTATTATACCTGCACCTATAGTCTTACCTCCTTCTCTTATAGAAAATCTAATTTCAGTCTCAAGAGGCATAGACTTTTCAAGAACAGCGTCTATAAACACATTATCTCCTGGTATAGCTAAATCTAAATTTATATTATTCATAGAAGAGTAAATATTAATTATAGTACCTGTTATATTTGATGTTCTTATAAAAAATTGAGGTTTATACCCTACAGTAAACGCTGTATGTCTACCCCCTTCTAATTTAGTAAGAACATATAAATTAGCTTTAAATTGTTTATACAGCTTAACAGAGTCAGGTATTGTAAGAATATATCCTCTTTTTATATCTGATTTTGTTATACCACGCAATAATATACCTACATTATCCCCAGATTCTCCTTTATCTAAAGATTTATTAAACATTTCTATATTTAAAACAGACGTATATTTAGAAGAATCATAACCTAATAACTCTAGTTTATCACCAGTTTTTACACACCCTCTTTCTATTTTACCTGTAGCAACTATACCTCTACCTGTTATAGAAAAGCTATCTTCTATAGGCATTAAAAATGGTTTTACTAAATCTCTATTTGGTGTTGGTATATATTTATCTATACAATCAACTAAATTTAATATTTTTTTTATCCATATATTTTCAAAATCTATATTTTTAGAATTTTTAACAATATTTAAAGCTTCTAAAGCTGACCCGCAAGAAAAATTAATACAGTCTTCTTTAAAATTATATTTATCTAATATTTCTCTAACTTCTTCTTCTACAAAATTTATAAGCTCTTTATCTTTTAATTTATCTTCTTTATTTAAAAAAATTATTACATTTTCTATTCCTATTTGTTTTATAAGTAATAAGTGCTCTATAGTTTGAGGCATTGGCCCGTCTACTAAAGATATAACTAAAACAGCACCGTCCATTTGTACAGCACCAGTTATCATATTTTTTATATAATCTGCATGTCCTGGGCAGTCTATATGTGCGTAATGTCTTAGTTTACTTTCATACTCTACGTGTTTAGTATTTATAGTTATACCCCTACTTTTTTCTTCAGGGGCAGAATCTATATCTTCATAAGAATGTGCTTTTTAGCTAATCCTTTAGCTTTAAGAACACTAGTTAAAGCAGATGTTAAAGTTGTTTTACCATGGTCTATATGTCCTATAGTACCTATGTTTACATGTGGTTTATTTTTTATGTATTGTTCCTTTGCCATTATGCTTTTTTGTTCTTTATTTGTTTTACTAGTTATAGTTAAAACGTTCTTACCAATTAAAAGACTTAAACTTTTATTTAAAAATTTGGAATTTTTTATTTTAAATTAAATTAAATCGGTAAGAACCTTAGAGAAAAAGGGATTTAACCTTTATTTAAGATATCAAAAATCTTTATCTTATCATTTAAATGACTCTCTATAACTAGGAACAAAAGAGAGTAAGGGATTTAAACCCTTAAAAGTTTAATCTCAAATTAAATGCATTGATCTTTCTGCCAACTCTCTTTATACCGTATAGATTAAAAATAATATAAGATGTTATATATTATTTATTTATCAAAATAATCGGATTTAAACCAATATCTTTCATCCCCAAAACGAATATGTTATATTACACTATATTCTGATATAATTTTAAAATTATAAAAAGTAAGACACACAACTTCACCAACTTTCCTCCTTAAAATAGGGTCGAACTATTATCGTATCGATTAACAATCGATCGCTCTACCTGTTAAGCTATTAAGGAACTTTAATATATATTATTTAAAAATTTAATTATTTTATTATATGTTAAAGTAAATTATTTTTAAATTTTAACTGTATGTTTTATAAAAATAATTAAGTAATTTATATTTATTTTTTAATTTTTTTTTAGAAAATAAACCCAATAGTGTTAAATATTCTAAAGAGTATATAGCTAAAGAACAGTAAAAAGGAGATAGTAAATTAAATGGTAAAGATACATATATAGCGCACATTTGTATTAATAAATATACTATACCATGAGTTTTATATATAAATATTTGTTTTCTTGTAGGCTCATATTTATTAAGATATTCTTTTATTATATTATTTATATATTCTATTATATATAGCGCACATATAATTATTATATCAATTATACTTTTAAATTTTAACGCGATTATATTTATTATTTGTGTTTTTGTCATTTTTAACTGTATGTTTTATAAAAATAATTAAGTAATTTATATTTATTTTTTAATTTTTTTTTAGAAAATAAACCCAATAGTGTTAAATATTCTAAAGAGTATATAGCTAAAGAACAGTAAAAAGGAGATAGTAAATTAAATGGTAAAGATACATATATAGCGCACATTTGTATTAATAAATATACTATACCATGAGTTTTATATATAAATATTTGTTTTCTTGTAGGCTCATATTTATTAAGATATTCTTTTATTATATTATTTATATATTCTATTATATATAGCGCACATATAATTATTATATCAATTATACTTTTAAATTTTAACGCTATTATATTTATTATTTGTGTTTTTGTCATTTTTTTTAATTTATTAATTTACAATTTTTAAATTTTAATTTACTTGAAGGTTTTGTACATTCATCATTAATATTTTTTTTAAAAGGTATATAAGTTTTTATATAGAAAGGCCTTTTATTGTTGTATTTATATCTATTTATATATTTTAATTTTTTATTAATGTACATAAAATTATTAAATATATTACATTTATTTAAATTTTTATGTTTTACAGAACGTATATAAGAATTAGTTTCTGTAAATATATTAACTACATTTTGTCTATATTCTATTAAACTACCGTTTTCTTGTATTACATTACTTAATTCTATTATAAAATTATATATAAAAGGTAATTTTTTTCTAATATTTATAGCTTTTAAAAAGGAGAAAATATAAATTTCTTTATATATTTAAACACAGATATAACTATAAAATAATATTTTGATTGATGTATTTTATTGTTTATCATTATTATAGGTAATAATAATTTATAAATTATATGTTCAAGAATAGATAAAAAGTTAATATTTAATAAAAAATTAGAATTTAATTTTTCATTTATACTTATTATAACTTTTTTAGCTTTTGTATATTTACCTTTTTTTTGTACAAATTTAATAAATGAGTTTAATATTATCTCACTGTTTAATATATTTTCTGTATTAAAATTCATTTATTATGTTTTTTTTACACTATATTTAGATCTTTTAGTTTTACGCTGCACCCTTCTAACATCTAAAACACCTAATATAACTTTATATTTAACTGTAGGAAGATCGGGAACATTACCACCTTTTATAAGTACTCTACTATTTTTAGGTATTATCATATTCTCCCCTGGAACGTATGCTAAAATTTTTTTTTTATTTAATGTTACTTTTACAACTTTTCTAATTGCTGAATTTGGTTTCTTTGGGGACATAGTTAAAAAAGCGTTACATTTGCATTTTTTTTGAGGGTTTTTATTTAATGCCTTACTTTTATATTTTTTATCTTTTTTTGTCCTTCCTTTGTATATTAATTGATTTATAGTTATCATTTAAATTTACGTTTTTTAAGACGGCACCCATTATAAGGATAATTTAATATGTTAGATATTGTACACACGTATACCCCTTTTAATGTATAAAATTTTATAAATAAAAATAGTAAAGTTTTTTTGTAATAAGATTTATTTTTGAATATTATGTGTGTTGAAATATGGCCATTGTATACTAAAAAAATTATAAATTTATTTATTAATTTATTTATAGTCAATAAAGATAGTTTTTTGTTTTATGTAATCTATTATACGATGTGTAAGATTTTTAAATTGACCACAAGATAATGATTTTAATATAGTTATAAAAATAAATACATTACCATATTTATGAAATTTAGAAACGTTTATAAAAACATTATTAAATTTAAAAAAAATTGTAGATATAATAATTTTATACTCTATGTCTTGTATTTTTATATTGTTGTTGTAATAACAACGATTTATTTTATCAAATCTAAATTTCATTTTTGTCTATATTTATGTCTAGTATTACTACATATATTTATTAATCTTTTGTTTCTTTTTATAATTTTACAATTATTACATATTTTTTTATTGATGTTTTAATTTTCATTATATTTCAAAGTTAAACTTATATTAATTTTTTATATTTTCTTCTATTACATAAATCACTTTTTTTTTTAAAATTATTTATATTAAATGTGATATTTCTAAAAATATAATTAAAATAAATATATAATTTATATTTTATTGTATCATAATTTTTGTAAGTGGATATATTATTTAAAGAAGTCAAAAATTTTGTTCTATAATTACTAATACCATATAATTTTATTAATGATATATATAAAAGTTTATGTTGTTTTAATACTATATTATCAGAAATAAATAAGTTAGATAGTCTTTTCATTAATTAAAATAATATAAAATAGATTTTAATATATTTTTAGTACTTCCTTTAGTATGAGATATAAGTTTTAGTTTTTAACACCAGATAGGAAAGTTATATTATTATATATACTTAAATTACGTCTATTAGGAGATTTATCTAATAATGAAAACCTATAATTTTTATATTTAAAAACTTTATAATCATTAGGTTTGAAATTTAAATTATATATATATTGTTTAGATTTATTTGATGCTTGGTTACACGCATTTTTATACACAGAATTTTTATTTGAACCTACACCTATCCATGATCTATTAGAACCGCTACCTATAATAATATCATATTTCATACTTTTTTTCTGTTTTTTTTTTTTATAAATATTTTATTGTAATAAAGTATAACTGTATTAAAAGTATTGTTTTTATCTATAAAAATTTGTTTCATATATTTTGACTTGTATACATTATAATATATATATTTAGATATATATGAATAGTTATAAGAATAAAAACTATTTAATAAATTCAATTTATATTTAAATTGATTTTTTTTATTTTTTTTTATTTTTAATTTATATTTTTTATCTATTTTAAATAATTTTTTATAGTGTCTATATGTATGAGCAAAATTAAAATCTTTAAAATATTTACTTAAAATTATATTGATAGTATTATTTAAATTCATTATTTTATTTTTTTCTTAATTTTAATGTTTTTTTTATTCTTATATTTTTATTTAAATATTTTATACCTGTATTAGTATAAACATTAAATTTTTTGCTATTAACTATTATAGAACATAAACTAGTTATAAAATCTTTGTTATGTGAAGATACAAAAATTAATGTATTGTTACTATTTTGTATATTAAATTTTATAGATTCTGGGTTTGATATGTATATTATTATATTTATAAAATTGTTAACCTTTATTATTAGTTTATTAAATATAAATATTACTTTATAGAATATATTTAAAATTTGTATATCTATTTTATATGTTTTTGTAATAGAATCAATAATATTATAAATTTTAGATATAAATGTTTTTAAAAACATTATAAATTTTATATTATCAAACCAAAAAATAGGCTTATTTGAAATAATTTTTAAAATAACTTTATTTAAAATCAATATATTATTAATATTATTAAATTTATTATTAAATATAGATATATAAGAATACTTAGTATACTTATCTATAACGTGTAAATATATAAATTTATTAAAATTTTTGTTATAATAATTTTTAATATAAATCATTTTTAAGATATATAGCATAGTAATACCCCACCAAGTTTAAGAAATTCTGCTTTTTTATTAGTTATAATACCTATAGAAGTAGAAATAAGAAGCACACCAGATTTTAAATTTTTGTTTATAGTAACTAATTCTTTATATTTTATATGTATATAATTTGAAATTTTATAAAAATTTTTTATATAATTAATATTATGGCTTATATCACTAAATTTATATCTTATATTATTTATTTTTAAAACTTTATAAGTGTCTATATAGTTAAGTAATAAACCTTTTTTATATATATTATTTGTTAACTTTGTATTTTTTATATTTATTATCATTTTATTTTTATATTAATTTAAAATTAAGAATGTTTAAAACATAATCTAATTTAACTATATTACTAATATTTTTATTGAATATGAATTTTATATTAAACTTATACATGTATCCTAAGTTAGAATAATTGAAATATTCAAAAAAATAAGATTTACTGTTTAAACAAATATCTAAATTAAAATTTGAATCAAAATTATAAATACTTTTATAAAATATAGATGTACTATAAAGCTTTATTAATGTATATCTTTTAAATTTATATAAAAATGATTTTAAATTTTTATTTAATAAAGTAGTTTTAGAACCTATAACTTCTCCTTTTTTATTAAATAAGTAAAAAGGACGTTGTCTAGTTATTGTATTTATAGAAAGAGTTATATCAGATAAAAAATTTTCTTTTTTATAATTAATATTATTATATATATAATTATAAATGATTATTTTTTTTATAATAGAGTTGTTATTCATTTATTATTATATAAAAGTAGCTTTTTTTAAATTTATTTTAAATTTAGATAAACTATTAATTATAGCAGTAGGTATTATACCTATAAGTTTTATACTAGAAGTATCTTTTAGTCTATGTTTTTCATCCACTTCACGTATTCTTGTAGAATATAATTTATTAAGTAAAACTAGTGAATTATTATAAAATTTAATACTTTTATATTTATTAAAATTGTAAAGTTTAGTGTGAGAAACTAATGTTTTAATAATATCAGATTTTTTAATAAATTTAGATTTTTTTACAAGATTTAA